ACAGTTAATAAAAAGGTCAATCATGCCAATCAGAGGCTGTGTTGGGGGCAGCTTTCCTTAGAAAGGTATGGATGAAGCAATGGTAGAAACATCTCCACCGTAGGAGATAGGTAGGATGTGAAGCTATGGGAGTGGAAAAGGTTCACAGTAGACCAAAAAGAAAAGAGGCCACACAACGAAACCCTAAGACATAAATATATAAAGATGAGCCAGAATAAGAAATGTCAGTACAAGAAATTAACATAAAACAGAAAATTAGAGAATCAGTAGGAAAACAGAAAATAGTGCTAAGGAAGTCTATGAGGGAGAAAGTTTGGAAAGCGAGAGTACACTTCACAACAAACTCTTCAGCAATGTCAATTCATTCATATACATACACAAAATACCCTACTACAGTCCAGGGGACGCAAAGTTGAGCAAGAATAGGCTTTTGCTTTCATGGTGGAGGAAACAAAGGTTATCACACAATTTGATCCATGACTGCAATTACGAGACATACTACAGAGAAGAGATATGTGGTATTTTGAGATCACAGAATAAGAAGACTTGATCCGGTGAAAGAGTTCAAGGAAAATTTGCCTTAGAACTGATGCCTGAACTGAGATCTAAAAGAAGATTAGGAATCGACTCGGTGAATTGAAGGAGGGGAGAGGATTGCAGATGGAGAGAATGTGTAAAGCTCCTTTGGCAAGAGGGGACATGGTGACTGATAAAAAGTCCCTTTGTGTCCAGAGAGAAGAGAGCAGGAACTTGACATTACCTCTAGAAAGAGATAATGCTAGAGAGGTGGATAGGAGACAGACATGCAGAAACTGGAAGGTCATGTTCAGTTTTGTCTATTGTTACCCTAAGTGCAATAAATAAGCTGACAGGAAAATGGGGTGGTTGCCATGATCACATGAATATTTTGAGTTGATTTGTCTGGCTGGAATAGCAGAAAAAATCAGAGTGGTATTAGGCAAGATTCTTTCAGTTTCGATTAACAAAGTTCCCACTTACACTGGATTAAGGACAAAGATTATTTGTTGGCTTAAAAATTGTAAAGCATGGCCAAGAGCAGGTATTCAGGCATTCTGGGATAGAGATGCTTAATTATGTTTTCAGGAATCAATACATCTCCTCTTCTGGGACTAAAATGGAATATGGCAGCCTAGAGTAAATAATATCATATATTATCACCCCACCAGAAAGAGTCTTCTTTTTCCCTACTTTTTCAGAAAATATCTCTAGGACTGTCACTTAAGGAACAGCTTGATCACAGCCATTATAGCCAAGGAAGAGGTCACACCCAAGGTCAGGTCTAAATGACATGCTCTTTTGTGGATCCAGGAAGCACAGTCAATCCCACCTGAACCACATGGCCTGAGAAAAGGAAAGGGGTGGTTCCCAAAGAAAACTTTGGATGCAGTCTCCAGAAGTGGGAGATCCAGAGAAAATATAGGGGGACAGGTTAAGAGGATATTATGATATTCCTGGATAGGGATAGCCATAGTTTATATTGAGAGTAGAGATTTAAGAGGTATTTAGGAGAATAAATTCATAGAATTTCGTAATGAATTAGACAAGAGGTTAGGAAGATTGAAGTATCAGGAGTGTGTCCCAAGTTTCATGTTTACATAACTGGTGACATCATTCACTAAAGAGTCGACACCAAAAGAGAGTCAGGTTAAAAGGTAGGGAGAGAGGCGGAACAGCAGGATTTTAATTTGGAACATATTTAGTTAGATGTACAGGCCTAGAGATGAGGGAAGGCACCTGGGCTGGATATGTAGGCTTGCCCAGCACAGGAGCAGTTCACTGATTTGAAGGTATCTTGACCATGGATGGTGGCAGAGGCAGAGCCAGATTTCAGTGAATGGTTGGAACGGGTGAAAGGTAAGGAAATAGAGACAGCAAGTCTATACTAGTCATTGGGATAGATTAAATGTGGGTACAAATTTATTACTATTTTTCCCATTGAAAAGTGGGGTTTAATTTGCTTCTTCATGATTCTGGGCCAGCTTTAGTAACTTGCTTGATCAGAAGAATGCAGCAGACGTAATATTCTGGGACTCCCAATGCTAGGTCATAAGAAGCCTTGTAACTTCTGTCTGAGCCTCCTGGAACATGTGCTGTGAAGAAGCCCAAACAACCAGCTCAAATAAATTATTAAGTGCCTGCAAATTATTAAGTGCCTTAAGCCTCAATGCTTTATTTGCATATTGATCAGTACTCACTTACCATGGCTAACTGCTGCTCTATCATTACTGCCCAGTTAATTTTGAATGAAATAAATTAAGTAGCATAAGTGGAGGTAATGTTTGGCTTATTTTTCTTTACAGAAGATTATTTTTATATTTTAACACATAATAATTTTATTGGTAACTATAATCTCATAAGCTGTCATTTAACCCATTTTACAGAAGTGGCAGGTAAAATTAAAAAGGGAGCAATGCATTAATAATTTTAGACCTAGTTTAGACTTTGGATTAAATTCTAGATCTTGCCCAGCAGGGCATGGCTCAGCGGTTGAGCATCGAGCTAGGATCCAGGTGATCGAGGTTTGATTCCCAGTCAGGGCACATGCCCGGGTTGGGGCTCGATCCCCAGTAGGAGGTGTGCAGGAGGCAGCCGATCAATGACTCTCTCATCATTGATGTTTCTCTCTCTCCCCCTTCTTTCCTCTCTCCGAAATCAATAAAGATATATTTAAAATAAATAAATAAATAAATAAATAAATAAATAAATAAATAAATTCTAGATCTTTGCTCAGCCAACTAAAATATCTGTAATCAGAATTCTTAAAGGAAATAAATTGGATGTTTGGTGCTTTTTTGCAATGATGTGGGGACATTCACCGTTGATATTTTTAGAGGTACTTTGCCATTTGAGCAGGGCTTTTCTGAAGTTACAAATAGCTTTACTCTAACATCATCCCCAGAAATATCACCTCTGAAAGTCAGAGAATTAAATTACTACTTCGATCTAGTAACTGTTATAACCCCAAAGAGAGATTTTCAAGAAATACCATTCTCAGATTAAGTATTTATAGAAATGGCATCTTAAAGAACTTATGGATCTAATACAGCCACTAATTTTATCTGACTTGCATCTTTCAAATGAGAAAAAATAGGAGCACTCAAGACACCTTGATTATAAGTAAAGCCACTTGCTTCCAAATAGTACTTCCCACTGTCCATAACCTCACTGGACAGTACCCCATGTAACCCAGTGAGCTTGCATTTCCCAGGCATGAGGAGAAAGGAGTCTCTTTTGTCTCATATTTCCTAAGAACCTCCTTCCCATCAGGTTTGCAAATAGTAAAGAGAGCATTTTCCTAATTGCCCCTAGAAACTTGCCTGTTGGTTGCATTTTTCTATCAGCTGAAGTGAAGAGGCCTGATACAGGCTCAGTGGCAGCCCAATTGTTTAATTCGGGGATTTATAGATGGCAAAATTCTATCCTTTCATGAATCTTTTGCCAGTATCACTCCTTTTCCCACTACTTTCTTGGAGGAGAAAAGACTTTTCTGGGTCTGGACTACTGGAGAACCAATTTCTGAAGTCCCCCTGTCTAAACAGTGTGTAAGACTGCTCGTGACGTGCTGTGTGCTGAGCTTCTTTGTGAGGAGACAGCAGCCTTCAATGTCACGACACTGAAGATGAGATTAATTGAGCGACCTGGCCTGGAGAGCATTGTCTTTAATGATACATTGCTCACCACCTGCACTAAATCCACACCACTGGAAAACTCTAACTAAATATTCTGAGCCATGATAATATTCACTGAGATGCCAAACCCATCTGCCAGTTATAAAAGTAACTGGGGTTTGGTGAGAAAGCAAGTTAATTTCTACTCACTTGAGTTAAAAATTACATAATATGCTGTGCTTACTTTTGTTAAACAGAACTGAGCATGGTAATGCGTTCTAAACCTGAACTTTAAAAAAAAACACACCAGCAAATCTACAACCTCTCCATAGAAGTATAAAAAGAAGAAAATGTGCCCGGCCGGGCGTGGCTCAGCGGTTGAGCATCGACCTAGGATCCAGGAGATCGCAGTTGGATTCCCGGCAGGGCACAGGCCCGGGTTGTGGGCTCGATCCCCAGTTTGGGGCATGCAGGAGGCAGCAGATCAATGACTCTCATCATTGATGTTTCTCTCTCTCTCCCTCTCCTTCCTCTCTCTGAAATCAATAAAGATATATTTTAAAAAATAATAACTAAAAAATTAGCAAATGTGCCTAGCACAGTGTCTAAAAAATGTGACTAAATCAAACTTATGTTGAAGCTATATATAAATCTCCATCGTGTTCTAGTAAATTCTCCTCACTTCAAATCCTTGCACTCCCAAATCATGGACAAAGAAAGACCTACCTGTGTGCTAAACGGCAGCATCCCACACCCAGCATGATGCTATCAGAGTGACAGAGGCAACACTATTTTTTGAACTCAGCTCTTCTCCTCTCCCTGCCCCCCTTTATGGAAAAATTTCTATTCTTTTAAGGCTTATAACTGGACAAGCAGAAGACAAAAAGTCACATCAAAAAGAAGGGAAAATGTTTCTGAGAACAATATTATTGCCAAGCTGTAGCAGAGTCTGGTCGCTTTGCTTGATTAACATATGTAGCTACAAACCCTTAGCAATTTTAAACTAATGTACAAATTAGAAGATGAAACACATTTATTTGTATGTGCTCTCTGGGAACAGTTACTTTAGATGCTTCAAGGATATTGCCTTTTTCTCTCTCTCAATGGTAACCTTGCGAGAATTGTCCCAATGATCATCTCAACCTAATTTTCCACATAACCTTTCTACTTTTTCATCTCAGGTGAACAATAAAAGATGCATGCCCATCTCTCTCTCTCTCACACACACATGCGTACACACACTATGATTAATAAAATCAAAAAGGCTGTGAAAAAAGGGAAGCCAATCACAGTCTACTTCACTTTACTATAGTTTGTGTATGTTTTCTTATTCCAGTACTTTAACAATACAAAAAAAAAAAAAAAATCAGCTCAATATCTTTAAATAGTTTATTGACAACATTAATACATTAATATATCAATATATTTTCAGGCAAGTAGATAAAGTAAATATGACTTAAGCCATGATTTCTAATGTACTGTAGGTATTAAAATAATGTAATGTTGTACAGTCTTTTTTGTTTAAACATATGCTGTTGTCCTGAATAATTTCTATCTTCCTCTACACACACAACCTGACATTATATAGTACTGCACTTAAAGGAAAAATTTTATTTAGCAGGCTCCTTTGAAATATGATTAAAATGAAAACATGTTGGGTTTTTTTTTTCTTCATTTGTGACATCAACAGGACCTAAACTGAGTCCATGAGATGGCAAATATTCAGATTTATCCACTAAGCCTACTGTTTTGTTATTATCAGCCCTACATTAAAGATTTTATGTCAATGACTGCTAATTCTATTAGGGGTATTCTTTCAAAACATCATGAACCAAAATATTTTTTCATTTAAAACAATTTTATTTATGGTGGAGTTTTCAAAACGTCTTATATCTTGAAATTATCCACAAAGTACTATTTAGTGCTTACATTAAAAAGATGTATTTCTTATTAGAAATGATAAAAAATATATACCATTAAGCAGTATTGTTATATTTTTATTTAATACAATATAACCAAAGGATTAAAGAGAGAGAAAAAGTTAAATATATTTAAAATTTCCTGTAACTGTTTTCCGGCTGTTCTAATGTTTTGAAGAAAAAATAAAGATCAAAACACCACAGATAATATTTTGATAAGCGATATTTATAAAAAACATAAGTTAAACATTGCAACAAGCTACCGTCAATGAATTGCCCCCATCAGAAATAATAATATTGGAACTAAGTATCTAAAGCAAAGACTAAGGGGAGAAAGAAGGGTAAGGGGAGAGGGAGGAGAAAAGAAATAAGTATTAATGGCAATGGTCACGTTTTAGTTAAATACATTTTCTTATAAAGCGGCAAGATAATATGTACAAATTTACAACTGAAAGGAAATCTTTATATACAAGTCGACTTGCGTTTGAACTCCTTGGGCATCCTTCCTCCTGTGTGACAGGCCCTCCTGGCAGAACTGATCAAAACTAGATTTTTAGTTCATAGCACATGATAGATTAGCCTTGAACTAGAGGCTCCTGGAGTTGCAGGCTGTGAGTCGGTGCTGGCCACTGGGGAGAGCGAGGCCGGGTCCTGCAGAGGCAATCCAGGCTGCTCTGAGTTGGTGATCCGGTCCACTATGCTGGACAGGCAATCCAGGCTGGATAAGGAGCTTTTATCTGCGGCATATACTAAGGATACAAAGAGAAAATCATTTTTTTAAATGCCCAATATATAGGCTTGCTTATGTGGTTGCCCTTTAAACTGTAGGTCAGCTCCTTTGACACCCAGGGGTCAGGGGGTCACAGAAAGCCTGAGGTAGAAATCTTCAACAAATATGTAGCAACTTATTGGCCGTGAATGTAGGGAGTGAAACATGCTTTTAGTACCACTGCAAGCAAAAGGGCAGGTGTGTGTATGTTTTAGGTGGATTTCTATTTTTTTTTAAAAAGTGTGTGTTTGTGTATTATGCTCTGCAAAAAAATCCACGTAAAAACCATTATTTTATTCCTTCCCCCGATGCTACGGGAAAAGATGGACTGCTTTGACAGGCTGAATGGTGAAGCTGAACTGGTCTTTAAACTCCTCTGAAGTCGTCAGTTCTTACCATTTGGTACATCAGGACAGTAGATGCTGTCAAAACTGCTGCTCTTTCTGGACCAGACAGGGCTGTTACATTCAGGCTGCAATATTAAGACACAAAAGAAGAAGTTTGGTTTTTGGGTCTTGGCAAAAGATTCTCTGCTCTAGAGTGAGGCAGTGCTTTCCCACTGGCTCCCTGAACTGACCACTGTCAATCACCGTCATTGCCTTGATTTAGGAAGGGTTAGTCCTACCAAACTGCAAGGGCACTGAGGTCAATCTGTGTGCTTGGAGGAGAGGAAAGCGGCAGCAAAGGGAAGCGGGGGGTGGAATTCAGCAGCAATGTGCGTTGGGTTAACCATGCAAAATGGATTGGCGTAGAAGGAAGCCACACTAATTCAGGGAGAGAGCACTTTCCCAGGGCAAAAACACATTAAAACCTGGCAGCGCTGCAGCAGACGCCCTCTGTAAGGAATGCAACATCTCCTTCCAGCCAGGCCTCAGCAGAGACGGGACTGAGGCCCCATACATTTCTTTCCATGTCCCCCTTAAGTTATAAACTGTGGGAACCTGAAAGAGTTGTCTTTAGATGTTAGTGTACTGCAGGGCCCACCGGCCCTCGATTCTGGAAATCAACTGAGCGATGGAGAAACATGTGATTGACCGTTCACAGCCGCCTACCTCACATGACAACTCTCCCCTGCACTGTACACCTAGAGCCTGGTAGGAAGTCAGACTAAAGTCCTGGTCAACGGCGACCTGTTTCCTGGCATCCTTCCAAGTGTGGCACCTCTGTCCCCTTACAGCAACTG